TTTTTTTTTTTTTTTTTCCTTGCGTTATGCGGGCCTCTCACTGTTGTGGCCTCTCCCATTTGCGGAGCACAGGCTCCGGACGCGCAGGCTCAGCGGCCATGGCTCACGGGCCCAGCCGCTCCGCGGCACGTGGGACCCTCCCGAAACGGGGCACGAACCCGCGTCTCCCGCATCGGCAGGCGGACTCTCAAGCACTGCTCCACCAGGGAAGCCCCAAATGGTTTGCCTTTTAATGGTTGTCCTTTTTAAACAATGTTTTAACCCAAAGCAGGGACTGATACTAGTGGATTTTAGGCCTCAGGCCAATCCTTTCCTAATGACTTGCCACAAATTCCACAACTATTTAATGTTTTTTTCCTGTTCTCTGCAGGAAACCCTCCAAATTCTTAAACTCAAGATTTTGAAACTAGTCTACAGATGGCTGGAGAGTAATGAGTAGCCATCTTTGTTAAAAGTGAGATTAGTAAGTATTAGAGATGTGATAAAACAGATTAGTGCCTAATTGAAGGCTTTAAGAATAATTGGAGGGAGAAAGTTGTGTTTTAAAAAAAAAAACCCAAAAAACAAACAGCAGGCACTTTGTGTTGGGAATAAATGCTTAAGGTTTCTCTGGCCACCTGCTCTCTGTAATCCATCTCCCAGGAGAGACCATTCCTGCAGGGACTCATTTAAGGGTTCTACTAATTAGGAAGAAAGATTAAAGATCTTTTGTATGTGATTGAAGCAAAATATTTTATATCTATCACCTGCTTTATTACTTTTTTCCAGAGTGCGAACACCTTGAGGATAAAAAGAAAAAAGATTTTCTTCCTAAATATTAGGTGCAAAAACCCATGACAGAGATTTTAAACAGATGAGACAGGGTTTCTCAACGTCAGCACGACTGACATTGGGGGCCTGGTAATTCTTTGTTGTGAGGGACTGTCCTACATATTGTAAGAAGATTAGCAGCATCCCTGGCCTCTAGCACATCTTCTCTTCTCCCCAGTCCAGTTGTGACAATCAAAAATATTTCTTGGGCTTCCCAGGTGGCGCAGTGGTTGAGAGTCCGCCTGCCGATGCAGGGGACTCGGGTTCGTGCCCCGGTCCGGGAAGATCCCACATGCCGCGGAGCGGCTGGGCCCATGAGCCATGGCTGCTGAGCCTGCGCGCCCGGAGCCTGTGCTCCGCAACGGGAGAGGCCACAACAGTGAGAGGCCTACGTAGCGCCAAAAAAACAAAAAACAAAACAAAACAAAAATATTTCTTGACATTGCCAAATGTCCCCTGAGGGGCAAAATTGCCACCAGCTGAGAACCACTGGAGTAGAAAATAATCATGTAAATAATCTGTTTTAACCATAAAATGGTGATCTGGCTTAATAAACTTACATCTTTTCAAAATTACATTGACATCCTCACTTTCTCCTGTTGGGGACTTCCGAATATCAATGCCACATGCATGGGCTTGTTCAGTAACATGATACCACAGATGCAGATTAAATAAATACCTACATATGCCAGACGCATATTTGCAATGTAATGTAATTTTTATTTATCTATATGTTATGAATTTGCTATATCATATTTGACAGCCTGTTCAAAAATCCCTCAAATGCCATGGGAAATGGTACTTTACCTCTTGGCTTGTCCCATTCAGAAAAACTCTTTGCAAAAGTTGTCTTTCCAGATCGACCCAATAGATCCTTTCTTCATTGTAATGAAAATCCATGATCATGGATATGCCAGCATCTGCCACCAATTGCTCGTGATTAGTTCCTTCTAAGTCGATCCTAAAGATCCTGTTTCCATGCGAGAAAATTAAGAAGGGTGCAGGACCTGCATGGGAAGAAAGAAACCAAACAGTATATTTTCAATGATATTTTATCTGATTAAGACAAAATAATTCCCCATAACAAATAGCACAAGCAGAATTAAGTTTTTATTTTTTTTGTTTTTAAAATTTTTTGGTTGTGCTGCATGGCACGGCACGTAGGACCTTATTTCCCCAACCAGGTACCGAACCCGTGCCCCCTGCTTTGGAAGTTTGGAGTCTTAACCACTGGACTGCCAGAGAAGTCCCCACAGTTAATTTTTTAAGTCCTGCTTTTATATTTTAAATAAGTACCATTGTTTACATAATAAATACTTCCTGTAGATGTTCACAATTAATTTTGTAAATCATTTTCTCCACAAATTGATTGTAAGAAATGAACATTGACAAATTATGAAAAAAGAAATATTTGAAGAGAAAGACACTTTCTAGCTTAATAATGTTTTTATGTTCAAAAAGAAACTACCTACTGTATTCTATTGTAAAGAGGGTCTGTATGAATGTCAAATTTCATTACGTAAATTGGAAATAAAATTTCAGATATTACCGTTTTGGAAATGGATCTCCCTCCTCTAGTCTTACCTGATGAACAGAGCATCCAGGTTACTGACAAAGAACATAGTGAAACCTAGAGGTCTTGAGCAGAATCAGGAAAAATTGAAATGCCGTCCACGAAAGCTCTGAAATATTTTGTCCTTGTTAACATTGCCACATAAAATTTACAACTCCCAGTTAAATTTGAATTTCATGTATATTGCATGGGACATCCTTTACCCTAAAAAATTATTCACTGTTTACCTGAAATTCAAAATTCAAGTAACTGAGTGCCCTAAACTTTTATTTGCCAAATCTGAGTAGTGGACCTCAGTGGATCTCTTGATTCCTACAAGGCCTTGCCCTGTATCCTAACCCTATGCCTGGGGTCCCGTCCTGTTCCAGGTGATGACCATCTACCCACTCAGACTCCCAAGTACTCAACACCTGCTTGGGAACCTGATACCTCTCTTTGGAAATCTCAGCAGAAATTATTGGCCGTCCACATGGAGCTTGCCTCCAATGCTCCAAGATGATGTCAGGGCACCATGTCATACTCTGCAGCCACGGTTAGCAAGGGTTAGTTTCCTTGGTCTTTCCAGACTGAGGATGAAGAGGCTTCTGCCATTCTGCCTTTAGATAAGTATCCCAGTTAACCCCTGGGATGAGTGGAGAATTGCAGAAGAATTCTAACACATTCTCACTGCCCTGCTGGGCTGACTCTGTTCTGTTTTAATATTAAACCTTAATAACTTAATGTGACATAATAAATGTGTTTACTGTTCTAAGGATTTCAAATGATGATGAATTAACATCCTCTTACTTGGGGATTATGTTCTAGAGTCAGAAACATTAGCTCCACTTTAGAGAATATATTGGAATAGAGATACAAGAGCAGGGAGAAGTGTAAGAACGTGAGAGTTTTGAAATAGATGCCTTTATAAATGTCTAAAAGAATTGGCTCAAATCACTCTTCCCACAGCACAAGACCCCTGGCAGAGATGTGTAGGACAGCCCGTTCTCCATTGCCATTCTAGCTGTAGAATCAGAGGTATCACAGGAGAAATGGAAAGAGCATTAAACTGAGAGCAAGGAGGCCTGGTTTCCAGCCCCGGCTCACTAGCTTCTCTGGACACCTCACAGGACCTCCCCAGCCCATATCAGAGGACTACTGGGGAAAGAAAATGAAATTATAGATATGAAACTATTTCATTATTTGTGAAGCACTACACAAATATGATTTGCCATTACTTATTCCCACAACCAAGGTCTCACTACGTAGGGTTGTACCACTGTTCAGGTTTGAACCCGTGGACTGGAATGTCGCTATAACTCATTTCTCTTATAGCAATGTATCACGGAGAAAAGGAAGGCATAGGAAAAGACACTCTAAATAGACAGCTACTAATCTGTGGGCCACAGACTGCTGCGGGCCTGTGGATTTGTTGCCAGGAGTCCTCTCTTTGAAATGTGTATCATGCATCCTGTGTAAACTGAATAGATGTGTCAATACATGTTATTAATTTTCTAACGCACTGATACCTTGATGAGATCGATAAAACATTTGATTCATTCCAAAGTACTACTAAATAGGTTTTCAGGTAAAAAAAAGGAGAAATGAAAAGCACTCTAAACATTTTAGACGGAACATAGCATAATGCTTTGCACATAGTAAGTACTCTAAATTTTTTCCTAAATCAATAAATTAATGAAGAAATCATTGTATTTTTTAATTTGTCTGGGCTTTTTACCCATACGAATGAAGACATAGACACCAGCAGATCTATCAAATTCATAAAAGCAGAATCTATCCTATGGTAGTTATTTTACTAACAACAACAATAATAATAATAACAAACTTTCACATCCTGGCCTCATTTATCCTTAATATAACACCACGGGCTAGACAGGCCAGATATTACAATCAATGAATCAAAGAGAAAAAATAAATTTGAAAAACACTTAGATCCATAAAACACAGACCATAGCATTAACTTCAATAGCTTTTCAAAAAACAAATATTTATGAAAATACTAAGTATGAATAATGAATAAATTTTATCTTCAGATTTTTCTCATTCACGGGTGAATCCTAGCATCCAATGTTTTATCATAGCTCTCAGAACTAGAAGACCCTAGACATTGCCTAGTTCAGTGTTTCCCAAAACTGTTTGTTCAAAACAATCACACAGGGCTTCCCTGGTGGCGCAGTGATTGAGAGTCTGCCTGCCGAGGCAGGGGACACGGGTTCGTGCCCCGGTCCGGGAAGATCCCACGCGCCGCGGAACGGCTGGGCCCGTAAACCATGGCCGCTGAGCCTGCGCGTCCGGAGCCTGTGCTCCGCAACGGGAGAGGCCACAACAGTGAGAGGCCCGCGTACCGCAAAAAAAAAAAAAAAACACACAAAAAAAAAACACACAGGGTGCTCTGTGCGCGCGCGCACATGTGTGTGTGCGCGTGCGTGTGTGTATCGTTTGCAGATCCTTTCCCTGGAAATTCCATTTCAGTAAGGCCGGGTTGAGGACTAGGAATCTGTTTTCTGAACAGACAATCCAGGTGATTCTTATATCTTGGTGAATTTGGAAATTGTAGCTCTAGTTCAGACGAGGAAATTCAGCGAGGCTTCCCAGAGTCCCACCTACAGTTGATGGTAGAGCTAGAATTAGAGCCCATGTACTATCCTCCCAATGCAGTACTCTTTCCTGCATTGCTCTGGGTTATGTGTCAAGACATTACAATCTTCAGTTTACTTCTGTAACAGATTTTTATTCCACCTCCCTCAAAACACCATTCCTACATTGTCAGCATCATTTTGTGTAAACCAGGGCCTGGGATGAATATTTGTGAAAATGAATTGTAATATGATTTAAAAGAAAGTCAAAGACTTTGAGAATTAGGCCTGCTGAAATAGTCATTAGACTGTAGGACACTGGAAATGATAAATAAGATAGTGTTTTCTCAAACCTGTCAAAGACTCTATAAACACTGGTGTGTGGTACAATCTGTGGATTTGTCAGCAGGGTGTGCATGTTTGAACAGCTAAACTTTCCCATGTCAAAACCCGCAGCATTTATTTTGGGCGCAGTTCAGTGAGAAGGAAGTGCATAGAAAATCAAACATCATGTCTAAGGAATACAAACCCAAAGACAGCAAACAGGTCACAGCAAATCAATTGGAACCTCTGACTTCTCAACCTGGGGATTAGTAAGGGATCTTCAGGAATTAGAAAGGAGTGCAGAATGTTTGGTTCACATTGAAGATCTGGGACCTCCATAGAACAGAGATCAATTATAAAAAGCAATTTTTGATTGAAAGGGGTGGGGATGTGGGTGGCAGAAACAGAATATTTCACAACCATCACCCCTTCATCTGCTCTGAGTCTGGAGAAGCAGCCCCACCCAGGTAAATGAGAAGAGAAATTGACTGTCATCTTTGGGCCTTGGGGGCAAAAGGGGACCTGGTTTACACATCAAGGATACTGGCAAGCATGTTAGCAAGACACACCTACACTTAGTCTTCTCAGGCCAAAACTGCCACCTGCCCTCACCGCCACAGGTTTCCTGCTCTAAATCTGGAGGCAGACTGAAGGAGGCTCACAGGACAAAAGAGAAAGTGGAGCTCTGGACTTTCAGGATTCAATGACACTTTGAGAACAGAATGTAGATTTAAACTAACGGGCCTGATGTAAGAAAGCCTGACACCTCCTCACCTGCTCCTACCTAAGCCCCTGATAGGAGTCATTTATTCCTACCTCCCAAGGGGCTGACTTGAATAATAACTGGGTTTTATGAAGTGCAGAAAGTTTTATTTCACTCTAAAAGGCTATCCTCATCTTTTTTTCAATTCCTTTTCCTTTTCCTAAAAGGGCACACATTTACTTTTTGAGCAATCATGGCTTTCTTCTCAGCTTACTCATTAGGGTCAAAGTTCAGGACAGGTGAGATAGAAGCCAGGTGACTCAGAAATAATACACTGGTTACAAACAGCTTATACAACTCAATAACAAAAATACAACCCAATCAAAAAATGGGCAGAAGATCTAAATAGACATTTCTCCAAAAAAGACATGTAGATGGCCAAAAAGCACATGAAAAATGCTCAACATCACTAATTATTAGAGAAATGCAAATAAAAACTACAATGAGGTATCACCTCACACCAGTCAGAATGGCCATCATCAAAAAATCTACAAACAATAAATGCTGGAGACGGCGTGGAGAAAAGGGAGCCCTCTTGCACTGTTGGTGGGAAAGTAAATTGATACAGCCACTATGCAGAACAGTATGTAGGGTCCTTAAAAAACTAAAAACAGAACTACCATATGACCCAGCCATGCCACTACTGGGCATATACCCTGAGAAAACCATAATTCAGAAAGAGTCATGTACCACAATGTTTGCTGCAGCTCTATGTACAATAGCCAGGACATGGAAGCAACCTTAGTGTCCATCAACAGATGAATGGATAAAGAA